CTGCTCCTCCTTACTTCTTCTCCCCGCGCACCTGTGCCGATCGTGGATTTGGGCGAGCACTGAGCGTGAGGCGGGAGGAGGTGTGGATGCGGGCGGGCCTGGCAGCGGCGAGCGTGAGGTGGGGAGGAGGTGCGGCGTGCAGCGTGTGTGGAGCCGTGAACAGGGCCAACCAATCGGAAGCCGATTAATCGATTATTGAAAAAGTTGACAACTTTTTCAATAATCGATTATAATCGATTATGTCGATTAGTTGTTGCAGCCCTAACAGAAATCTCAGAGCTTTTGGATGTCTGCATAAGGGAGACTTCTACAGGTGACTAACATGCATAAAACACAATAAATGCACATATAGTCTTACAAGATGATTGTCATTGAAACTAATAGTCTAGTGACAGGATCTCTTTATAAAAAAAGAGAGCAAAACAAATGTAATCAAAATAAGACTGGAACAATCATTTATGAAATGATTTACACAAGTTACATTTATCACAGAAATAACATTTGGGTTAGATAAGAGTTTTGCACTCAGTTGTTGTTTTTTTTTAAATGAAGTACCTGTATAAAAATTCCGTACCAAGACTTGGATCACTGCATCATCTGAATTTGTAAGTCAATAGGAAAACCTCTGATCCTGTCCAACACGGAGCAGTTGTTTTTTTTAGATCTTTTTGTTATCTTCCTGGATTGCAGGTATGAAATTCCAAGCAAGGAATGTTCTCATGTGACCCACCTATGATTCCAAAGCCGCTGGTGTAGCACTCACAGAAATCTCTTCTAAATACATTGCAAAAAGGATTTGTGACAAGACAGAACAGAATTGTGACAAATCTTAACAGCTACATCTGTGAGAATGTAGGATAAGATATCCCGTTTCTTATTTGGGTTTAGAGGGCAACAGTACTTTTAGGACATTAAATATCCAGACAAAAAATATATTTTAAAGTAACACTAAATCTTAAACATGCATTCAAGTACCTTAACCATTAACAAAAATGTATCTTATTTGTGTATCACTGGGCTGTGGATCCTCAAATCATCTCTGAATTGGTGCTGACACTGTCCTTCCTTCTGGAGGGTGGCTACTTTTGTTCTCCATGGTCCCTGTGTGTGTTGTGAAGTAGCCACTGCTCCAAGCTCACTCCTGTGATGGACTACAATATCATGTTTAGTTTACTCATTTGTATTGAGATTGTAGTCCATTACAAGAGTGAGCTTGGGGTGGTGGCAACTTTACAACACACACAGGTACCATGAGGAAAGAAAGTAGCCACCCTCCAGAAGGACAGGAAATTCAGAGATGATTTGAGGATATTTTATGATGGATATGTTATGTCCTAAAAGTACAGTTGCCCTCTAAACCCAAATAAGAAACATGATACCTTATCCTACATTCTCACAGATGTGGCAGGTAAGATTAGTCACACCGGTCAGACAGGTATGAGGACTCTTTTGACTCTTCAACAGTCTAAGCCAGCCTTTCCTTAAAAGGGGTTCTAAACTGCTAGCAAGCAGTAGATATATGCAAAAAGTTGTTTTTTTGTAAACCAAAACGCTTTAACAGCGGTTTAAACTTACCTCGTTATCGCTGCGCACACCCGCGCCGAGAATCAGGAACTGCTCGTGCGGCCGCAAAGGATCTTGGGGCATGCGCAGTTCGGATTCGCGGCCGGGAGAGGAGCAGAGACGCAAGGTAAGGCTATGGCCGCGTGCACCCGCATGCAGACACCGCTGGATCGGAGGGACAGAGGAGTCAGCGCTGGGTCGGAGAGCCGCCGCACCGCTGGAGGGACAGATGAAAACATCAGGAAAGAAGAAGATCGGAATAAGAGACATCATTTAAGGTAAGTGCTGACATTAACATGGGGGGAGGGAAAACATTTTTTGACTTTAATGTCACTTTAACTTATTTATCCCCGAGGAATCCTTGGAATAATTTGGAGGTCTCAGGAAACCCCTTCAAAAAAAACTATTATATCTGTGTCACTGTACATTAACATGATCAGTAAGTTGGAGAACATTTAAAATAAGAAAGAAATACAATGTCTCTAATGTTTAAAAGAAAATGGCATAATTACAATATTTGACAGCCAGAGTGTTTTACAACACTCTCCTGCTCCATACAGCAATCATGGAATCAATAGGGGGTCGGGGGATCCGTAGCGAAAAGCCCCTTTACACGGGGGATCCGTAGCGAAAAGCCCCTTTACATCGGTGATCAGGGATGGACAAATTAATATGGAATTCAGGAGCCAGTCTGTCCAATCCAGGAGCCAGCAGCAGCCAGCTCCATTGACAACAACTGGAAAAAAACCCTCTAAATTTAGGCCACAGATGTAATTTGTTAAGGAGCATTGGCTACCTGGCTCCTGGGATTTGACCATCCCTGACTTACACTGGTGGTCATTGTAGATGGGAACCTGGTTGAGAAGATCTGGACAGATTATTTAGCTAAACAAAGCTAGCATTAAACTGTGAGATGCAGGAACGGGGGTATGTCTAAGTACAGAATTCAGTGGGAGCCTCATTGAATGGTCTGACACCTAATATGAGGATATTAGTTTATACAGTTCTCTTACGACATGTTTAGGGCTACAACTAAAGATTATTTTCATAATTAGTGGGCCGATTCTTTTTCGATATTAATCGGATAAAAACATTTTTTATACCATCCTTAATTTAAAATAAAATACACAATGCAGTGTTACAACGTTTACTTCAGAAGAAAACTGCATGCACATTTTTTTACAATCGCACTGCACTGGAACGCACTGCATTGCAGTACCATGTGTTCCAGTGCGGGCAATCACACTGTGGGTGGGAGGTGCGTTTCTGGTGCCATTGAAATGAATGGCACTGCAACGCACCTCCAGCTGCAGAATTTGTCAGGCCAAAACCAAAAATGACTTTTCCCCTCCTTTTATAATTTTTTTACTTTTGAATAATTATATCGTAAGCACATGGCGCTTGAATAGCTTCAGCCAGGGATAACAGCTGCCAGCGGCAAGATTCTGCAGACGCCAGCTGAATGAAAATACAGCAGGTAGCGGGCTGGTGCAATATCCAGCCTGTTATTGGTCATTTCAAGTTGCAATAGCAGGATGGCTATTGCACCTGCTCTCTGCTTGCTGTGCCCTCCTCCCAGCATCGATAACTATTCCCATTATAGATTGATTAGTTGGTTGCAGCCCCAGACATGTTTGATAAGACCTAGCCATTCTTTATAAAACAAACCTCCCTGACAGCTTAAACAAAAACAACTTTTACAGCTTTCCCTGGCCAAAATGTATAAAGGTTCAAAGCCACAGCAGTTTGGAAACCCGAATAATGTAGATAACATGGTCTAACTCATGATATTTCTGCAAGTGTTTTCAATGGACAATTACAACAAATAAACCTCAGGAAAAAAAAGCTGGCCACAATATTACCACATTTCCTTAACGCAAACCTGTGCTATGCCCATTACACACAATTTTGCTTAAAGGAGAACTATGAGGTGAGTGCTTTTCACTCACCTCATAGTTCTAGCCGACCTGTGACAATGAGACTGTCACAGGTGGGCTCAGTAGATCGGGAGGTGAGCGAACACATGCCGGTGTTTGCTCACTTCTCGATCCTGTCACGGCAGAGGGAGGGGCTGGATTCCCCCCTCGGATCCGCCAGCGCTGACTGGCGGAACGGACGGGGGAGGGGGCGGGTACCGCTGGCTCTGCCTCTAGACAGGCAGAGCCAGCTGTCAGTCATGCAGCTGGGCGGATCTCGACATCGATGTCGGGATCCGCTCCGGCTGCGGCGTCTCAGTATACCGCGAGCTGTAGCTCGCGGTATACTGAGCTTAGGGTAACGGGAGGACGCTAGTTTGTGTCCTCCCGTTACACTAAGGAGAACTAGGGGAAAAGCCCTGACCCCATAGTTCTCCTTTAACGCTGAAGTTTACCCTGCTTCTATTTTGCCCTCTCTGGTTCCTCCCTCCTCGACACATCAACATGCTAATGAAATTTGGAAATTAAACCAGTCCGTTTTCATCACATATTGTACTGTAGTCCCAGTAACATCATTACTGGATTTGTGTGCTTCTATAAGCAATTCAGGCAGATCATGGCTGGTGGGAGGAGATAGCAGGGTGCTGTACATAGCTTCCTGAAAACATCACAGCTCTCAGCACCTCAGTACTCCTTTAAACTGCCCTCAGCCCTGGTGCAAGAAGCTGGCTGGCTCTTGGGAGGAGTTATGCCAATATCAAAATGCCTAGGTGACTGGATGTCAGTCTGGAGGCCGGGGTGCTGCTGGGCACAATGTATTTGCACGCAGACCACTCTAGGTACAGCAACGTGCGATGCTGAGCCTCCATGATTGAAACAACTGAAATCCAATTAATGCAAGGGCAGTGCCATGGACAGTCAAGTTGGGGAGAAAGGGGTTAGGTGATACTGGATGTCCTCTAGCCAGGACATGAGACAGGTTCTATCTGACATGCTGCTGCAGCAGCTACCAATGCAATGTAGATATTAAAGATTAACACTGGGATTTTTATTTAAAAAATACCCTTGTAGTGGGTGGCTGACACCCCAAACACCTCCACCCCATCCCCCGGGCATTCTATGCAAGGACAGCAAGGCTCTGTCCGCATTCTGCAGCACTGAAGCGAAGGGCCCCAGAGGGCGGTATAAGGAAAGTATTACAGCTTATTTTAGGAGGTGACAAGCACTAAATAGTAGGCATTAGCTGACACTGCTGTGGAATCAAGGAAAGCCAGTAAACATAATAGACTGTGTGTAGATATAGATATATATGGTACAGATAAATGTGTGTTACATGAACCTGTTCTCATGTCACTGCCCCATCCTAAGTCTGGTATAATGCTGCTTTTCCATAACCAGTACAGACATGTATACAGTACAACTGCACAAGACATTGACAAATGAAGCCATGCCATATATATTTATAAAATGTCACAAGGGTGACAGGTAGTATAATGCGCAGAGCTCATAGTTGTCTCTTACCTGTGGTCTCCCCCTCCACCTCGTACTACCAGTATGAGCCTCTCTTCCTCTTCCTCCTGTCCTCAGTATGAGGCAGGAAGCAGCGTATTGTCCAGCGGCTCTCACAGCACTTACTACAAGACATTGACAGGGTAAAAGACTGCTGCTCTCTGAGTGTCTGCAGTACGGCTGGACGGCTGACTTGGCTGGCGGCCATTTTTCCGGAGTCTGTGTACTGTGAATTGTGCGGCTTGAGTCTAATAAGTGAAACACGTGATGAAGACCAAAATGTCATCTGTGATTAGCGCTCTAGTGATCGGAGTGTGATAGGACCTCGCATAGAGTGCATGTTGTGTATTGATAGCGCAGAAGAGTTAGGGCTGCCATCTTGTGGCTGGCGTTCTGCCAGCCGTAGCAATTACTTATGTACTGTTTACATGGGAACTTATATGTCATGTATCTTTATCTTTGTTTGGCATATTGGCAGCACATAGGCTCAAAATGTACAACATTTTGATAACCGTTCCTTTGTTTCCTTTTTCTGTCAACTAATTGATGTTTGTAGTCAAAGCTGAAGTCGCTACACTGCAAGGGTTAAATGCTCATTATTTTTTCTAGGAGAACGTTAAGGCCTCATGCATATGGGTGTCTGGGAATTCCTGTGGCAAGAACCTGCAGATTCTTCCAGCAGAAATCCCAGGCTGGTCCGTGCAGATACAGATTGAAGTTAAAGTGACATTAAACCCTCAGATTTTTTAACATAAAGCAATACTGTGATGTGTGCCTTACTGTAATCCATGGTTGTTTCCCTTCTGTTTGCTGCTCTTCCTTTTAAATCTGTTCTCATGCTGGGCAGAACTTCTGTTTTGCAGCAGAGTGCCTTGTCTCTGGAATGGATACATGGTGTCTGTGTGTTGGTTTGCAACCTGAGCCAGCACTACAGGAAGAGGCACTCAGCTGCAAAGGGAAGTTCTCCCCCAGCATGAGAAGAGATGAGGATTTAAAAGGAAGAGCAGCAAAGAGAAGGGAAACTACCATGGATTGCAGTAAGGTACACATTACAGTATTGGTTTATGTTAAACAAATCTGAGGGTTTAATGTCACTTTAATGACAGTAGCCAAATCTGTCCGTGGCTGTCCGCGTGTAATCGTACATGGAACCGTTACCTGTGGACCAGAAGAGTTGCTTGTCCAGGGATGCAGAAAGCTTGCATGGCACAGCGGCTGCATCTGTACTGCCCCCAGTGCCGTTGCTGTACAGCTTTCTCGCACAGGGCGCCTAAAGGCCTAAGGCCGGCCCTGACTGCCCCACCTGGGATTCCTACCATAAGAATCTGTAGGTTATTGCTGGAGGAATCCCCAGATTTCTGTGTGCATGGGGCCTAAAAAGTACTTCCAATTACCTTATCTCTCACTCCCACAAGCTTCCTTCTCTCCATGCGACCAGTCCCCAAAAGCTGCTTCTCTTCGGTGCACCATCAGGAGATTGCACTCTGTCATCATCATCTACAATGCAGGTCCAGCAGTCCTGTAAGTGAGGATGCACAGGGCCAACCACAACTGGGAGCGTCAGTAGGAAGAGGAGAACTTCACTTGCTGGGGAAGTGAGGAATAAAGAGGGCAGCACAGTGGCCTAGTGGTTAGCCTTGTAGCACTGGGGTCCTTGGTTGTAATCCCAGCCAGGACACTGCATGGAGTTTCCATGTGCTTGTGTGGCTTTCCTCCAGGTACTTTGGTTTACTTCCACACCCCAAAGATATGCTGGTAGGTAACTTGGCCCTACTATATTTATGCATGTGAGATAGGTATCTTAGATTTTAGTTTTCTAGAAGGCGGGGACTGATATGAATGTACAATATGTAAAGCACTGCTTTAAGAACAACTCCGGGCAGAAGTTTTGTTAACCCTTGCAGTGGGGCTACCCCCGCACGACACAGGTTTTTTGCCCCAAAAAAGTTATATTCATCTAAACCTCCGATCCAGCCAGCTCTTAGACTGGTCCCTAGAGCATCTCTCTGCCACCTCTGCAGTGGTCTAAGAATTCTCGAGTCATTATGTCCAATAAAGTGTATTGGATGTGGGAACACCAAGGGACATACCCTGTTTCCCTGAAAATAAGACCTACCCCAAAAATAAGAACTAGTACTATTTTTTGGAATTGCTAAAATATAAGACCTACCCCGAAAATAAGACCTAGTTGTGACCATTGCCAGGGCTGGTGGTGGCATAAGCGGGAACCTGAAGAGCCGCGGGAGAGAATCAGCTGTGCCAATGAAGCCAGCACTAGAGGAAGCGAAGCAGCACCGGAGTTAGCAGAGCCGCATAAGCCGATGCTTCCTCTATATCGCCGACTCCTGTCACAGGCGGAGTAATACCAAATGCACTCCGTCTTTGAGGAATCGATATTGAAAGTGTGCTTCGCTTTTTCTGGTTACCAAATTGCTCTTGGAAAGGTACGGCACCCCTGATCACCCTATTATTAACTTTGCCATTTTGGATTATTTAATTTGGATTTGCATTAACTTTGGATTGTTATACATTAAAAAAATAAATAAGACCTACCCCGAAAATAAGACCTAGTGTGTTTTTTTTTAGCCAAAAAAAATATAAGACAGTGTCTTATTTTCGGGGAAACACGGTACAATTGCCGAAACGAAGAAAGAGACAGGCTGGAGGGAACACTGCCGGCT